TGTCACCTTTCCAACGAGCATAAATCTGAAATTGTTTGATCGATACTTTACGAGAAATCTATCAGTGCAGCTATCTACCGAAAAAATAATGGATTTCTTTTTCCCCAAACTAATATATGATAATCAGTGTTACGTTTCACTATTGATTTGCTGTTGCGAAATACCTTCCCAATTCATTTATTATAAGACTGACTAATTCACTTTCGATATAGTATTCCTAGCCAAGTTTGATCAAGAGTTAACCTATTATGATATACTCAAAAAGGTAACACTACCAATAATAACACTTTTGTTAATAATTTTAAAGTTAAATGTGTTAAGTTCGAGAAATATATTGTATAAAATATTGTTACGAAAACCCCAAATCCAGTTAATTTCAGCTAAGTAATTTTCCTAATAATAAATTTGAATTTGAAATTTGAAATAGAATATTTGTGGAAGGGAGAGTTGGTCCGGCAAGAACATTTGAGCTGAGAATACCGCCAAAATAAATTGTAAATAAATGATCCTACTGTTAAAGAATATAACTGCAAATCAAAGAACTTTGAAGTGTATTTCTCTTGAATAAAATATCCGCGATCTAGTGATATGGACTGTATCTTGTATAGAAGCGAATTCCATAACAATAATAATAAAGTATTAACTTTAATATAAAGGCGGGACTAAACAGTGCATAGCCCACCTTTTAAAAACGAGCCGATAAGTTGAGTCGCTACAGTCCCCATCCTACTTTTTAGTTCTAAAAGATAGTATATTAGGCAAACAAAAAAAAGCTAGCTGCTATATTCTGAGCAACATCACAGAGACGTTACAAATCATAAAATATTTGTGATTTGCTGGATTTAGGGATCATGCTTTGTAAGAGATCACTATTGAAATGGATTTTTTCCAAATACAAAATTGATACAAAGTCACATAAGCTATGATACAAAGAAACACATTGCTTTTTCTTATGACTACTGAGCGGCCACGACGCCAGCATTTGCCCCTAAATAGTCTTTAAATATATATCAATCAATCATGATGTAGAGAGAATGAGAGAGCAAAAAAAACAAATTTCTGCCAATTCAAAATTTCTACATTGTCAAGAGACTTGAAAAGAAACATGAAGAAAAAATTACTCAAATTATTTTTCTTTTCCACCCTATAGTTTATTAAAATCTCATTTCATCTGAAAGATGAAAAGAAAATCTACCAAAATCAATAGCAATCTCTTTCTTGTAAAATCAACTTTTTATTAAAATTTTATTGAGAATTATTTTATCGCGCTTTTAATTCAATATATATCTCAATCTCACATAAAGTAAATTTATTCATTAATAACCGCAAATGATTGCATAACAAAATGGATGCAGTCATCAACCACACACGCATATATATACACGTACGCCTAGGCACATTTATACCAACAAATGCTTGTGTATTCATCTACTTAGGCACGAACTTTATTTTATTGATAATTTAAACAATTACGTCAAGTTAAACTGCGTTAAATCTGACCACATGTCCAGACAATGTTTATGGCATAATTATCACAATAAACGCACAGAAATGAATGAATATTCAATAGAAATACATACATCCATACATATTCATTCATCTGATGTATACGTGTGTTCAAGTAAATTTAACTAAAGTGATCTGTGATCTAAATGCACTAAATAATGGCATTTTATACGCAGAAAATCTACATTTTATATATCAATATAATAGACTTGTTTTGACAGCATTTATACGCTGACAATAGAGAATATAATGATGTTGATTGTTGACAATGATGATGATGGCGATGATAATAACGGTGATAATGATTATAGCGTAAGTTGGCTCTGATTTTAGCTTTAATTTACGAATTTCATTGAACAAAATTTAGCCTTTAATTGTGAATTGTGTCGTCGTTAACACTGACTTGGAAAGTAAGTTTACATATTTTATAGCAATTATACCGAAAGAAGGAGGTGGCAGCCATTTGTCTAACGCATTTTTGTCAATGGCATTGTATTCATATCAGAGCATACGTACATACGTACGTATAAATTCAGTAACTGAATGCAGGAAATTAATAAGCTTAACTGTTAGCCAAGAATATTTTGGCTTTTAGCCTCTAGTTGCTAAGCAAAGTTCACCATCCAAACAAAAGCATTTGGCAAAGTATTTTGTGTACAAATTTAAAATAATTTAAATGTATTTAAGTAGTTGAAGGAGGCTTATTTGCCATTCACATAGATAAATTTCTATGCAAATGTTGTTGACATTTTATTCATTTCTTCTATCGCTATTAAATTACATACATACTTATGGGTCTATTTACATTCCTTCTGTTTTTCTTATTCCAGAGAATTGTTTTTTTTTATTATTTTTTTCATTTTTATTTTTACTGGCTGCAATGGTACAAAGCTTATTATAGAAACTACTCAGCACCCATTTCACGAAAAGTGGACTACTTCAACCTTTGTTGAATTAACCGCAGGCAAAACAACTCTAACTCTTATCTACAAATAACGTATACACGCGCTTACACAAGCTTTTTATATTTATATATACATATATATATATACATACTTATATATATATATATATACATACTTATATATATATATATATATATATAAATATATATTTCGAAATGAATCTCGTAATAGTATCCGTGCTTTTGTTAGCCATGTTGGCATTTCAGCCGACATTGATTTATGGCACAAAAAGCTTGGCATCCGCTGGCAATAGCAGTAACCGCAATCTAAGAGCCAACAAATACAGTAAACGACACACTGCCACCGCAGCTCTATCGTCCTCACATACACCCACATTAACATCAACGGCCAAATTAGTTTTGTCTCTGGAGTCGGGTAAGATTTTAGTGCGTCCTGCACGTGGAGCCAATGCAGAAACTATAAATGGTGGCGGCGGAAACGGTGGCGGTGGTAATAAACGTCAAAAAAATAATAATAATAAAAAATTAAATAATAAAAAATCTTCACATGAGAATGCATCACCGACATCTATGTTATCATCCTCAATACCATCATCATCAACTGGACGCAAATCTAGTGAAAGCATATACTCAGCCGTGGTTGCATCAACCGCAGCCAACCAGAAAACTCAATTTAATAGTAATGGCAGCGGTAATAATAACAAAGGCAAAACGCGTCAATTACTAAAATCACAAAAACATCAAAATCATGGTAAACATTCGTCAGATGACAAAGCAAACAAACATAATGTTGAAAGAGCTCACAGCGAAAGTGAGAAGGCATGTAAGTTAATTTTATTGACTCTTACTAAACAAAATGCACCGAATATATGAAAGAAAAAAATGTTCAAAACAAATAAGAACACTATGCCATTAAAGCATTAAACACCTTATACTACTCTACATTTATCCATATATCGATTTTTCAAAATAAGGTTTTACACGGAAAATGGTCAAAAAAAGTGGTTTGACCTGAACCATTTTAAATAGCGTTCGTCCATGGTCCAAAACACATGGGTGTACCAAATTTCATCAAAATATCTTAGAAATTGCGAAACAAGAGGAAGTTAATATACCCTTGTACCAAAAGCGATGTAGGGTATAAAACGGTCACTATACTCGCATGTCAACAGATGCGACGAAGCTCCTTCGGCAGGTGCATGAAGCATTCGTTTATTTTGTATTGCCATTTCAGAAAGCTCTAGATATTAAGGAAATATATGATTTTATTATATGATAATATATCTTTAACAAAAACAAGAATGTACGATTTGAAAAACACAATGGAAAATGTAAAAACCCTAATATTCTTCTTCTATAAAAAAGTAAAATCTTCACTTCTTATTTATCTAAAATATTTTTGTAAATTTGTTAACTTCGAAAGAAAACTTTCAAAACTCAAATCTCTTTACCGCATTCTTCCAATGTAAATTTTCTATTGCTAGTTTCAAGTTATCTGACAACTTATGGCACCAAATAATTAATTCAGTTTCGGTCATTTCTGAATATAACGTATTACAAAGATATGAAATTATTTATGGCATCCTGATGGAAAAAAAGGATCTTCTATCGGTAATTAAGCTAAACTCACCTTAATGTACACTGAACTGTTCTCTTCTCTTAATTTGAAATTATTGATATTTTCTTCAATCTGATCTAGATAACTTCATTACCACCCTGATCAGTTAACTTTATGACGACAAACCAGAAAAGTCGAAGAAACTTTTCTTTTGAAGAACTAATGTATTTACCACCGAGGATTTCATAGGTTCACATACACTAGAAAATGTAGGTTTGTTCGCTGATTTCAAGATTTTATTCGATCAAACTCAACGCTTCAATTTCCATAAGCGAATTTTAGGCCAACGATAGGTTTTATTGCACGGTCCAGAGTACTCGTTACAAAAAGTCTATACATAAGCTGCAATAAGACCAACACTTGACCAATACTTACTTTGTCTTTTCCTATAGGAGCAACGTTGATTCATTAGAATCAGTTCAGAAGGAGTTCCTGGTCTTTGTCCAGAGGAATTTGAATTGGAATCCATTAGACTGTTTACTACCTCATAAAATAGATCATTACTATTGACCCTTGCTTCACTAGAAAAGCGACGGGTTATCTCGGTGTAACTTTCTTATTTAAATTTTTATATGATATTATCGATTCGTTGGCTTGATTAGAAAAGATTAATTTCAATATTCGCCATCATTTTTTAGAAATTTTACTTTCATTAAACTCAGTCAAGGTAGACGTAACGATGAGATTTTTAATCCATTCAGGGTTCTTTGCAAAAATCTAAATGATATCTACAATTTAATCTAAATAGAAGAATTTTTGAATGCTTACAAATCAAATCTCCTTAACAAGTACGTCTTGCCAAAGTCGCGTCTAAATTACATAATATTCAAGTATATTGTCAAACCTATATTAAAGTATTTAAAAAATATTATTTTTTAGAAATTGTAGAAAACGGCTATATACCGAAGCCATTTTAATACGATATTTTCAAAATAAGGGGACCTGAGAGAAGTAGTATAACTGGTCTGAATTTGTATTAAACACAACAAACAAACAAAACACATTTAATCTATATGCCTATAGATGGAAAGATAAGTAGACTTTGTTAAAAATATTCATTATTGTTTGATTGGTGAGTGTTGGAATGAAAAAGTTCAATACTCCACAAAAAAGACCAAGTCTTTTATTAATAAAAAACAACTTATCGAAATTGCTCTACCCCTATGCCATTTCTCTTTGAAATGTTCCCTTAAAGAATTCGTATGAAAAAACGAAATTTATGAGAATTATGCTACTTACAGATTTGAAAAATAGTGTTGCGAAAAAAACACATTTAAATTTTTGAAATGTATTGCACACATGTTTTTTTATTCTTTTCCTCCATTAGTTTGCAATCGCAGGACCATAAAACTGCCTTTACATGTTCGCATATTCGCCCTCATTCTCTTTCTTCGAAGATTTTGTAGTCAAAATGGGTTCCATTTTGAATCGCATTTTTTACACTTTATGTAGTGCGAGGTAATAAA